AATTTTTACTTTTTACTTTTTACTTCTATTAATTGACGTTATATCCTTAAAAAAAATTTTAAACTGTTTGTGCTTGTAAAAACTATTTTGTGTTGTTTAGTTAATAATTGTCTTACATGTGTTTTAATTAATTTATTCAAACAGACATCTCGCGGTTTAACCTAACCTACAATATTTTTTTTTTTTAAATACTATTGTATTACATATGAATTTTTTAACTTGTTTTGTTAAACTTTATGTAGCGCTTCCTTTATAGAAATAGTCAAGGTGAGTCAAGGTTATTGTTTAACTTCTTTTGTGTTTTTTCTGTTATTTTGTATATGTTAAAGTCCGTTCATGCTTTTATAATTGTTTTTTATTACAACTGACTCCTTGACATTCCATTTAGGTGTGCCTGATGATGAAGTGACAGCTTCGAAACCGGTAGCCAAATAAAAGACCTTTTCTTTAACCCCTTACACTTAATCTCTACTACTCACATATGGCTACCCTCACTCCAAATAATATAAATATAATTCTTTTCTGAGGTCGGAAACAAATTAATAATTGAAAAATTTGTAAAATTGCTGCAAAATTAAAGCAATATATATTTTATTATCTTTAACATTGTGACAAAGTCACTAAATTTTATTTTTAATTCATCTTAAAAATGTATATTTCAATTAATTCCCGCCTGAGAACATGTAGAAGTTCCCCCATATTTCTGTTACCCAGGAATTACCGTTTTTCAACAATTGCGAGTACCCTCGTAGATTAAAATATTCATATATTTTCCGAAATCAGAATGGGCATTTTTAGAGTCGATTTCGTGTGGATTATCTACCTTTTATTTGTCAAGGACTATAAGGGCATTTTTTTATTTTTAAATTGTAAACATTAGGCTGTAGTAGTGGTATCCCCACTTTGCCGTACCGTGTCTTCCATCTTGCTTTACCGAAAAAGCATAAATTAAATCCCATCTGGGAATTACGCTCTCTTCTCGCTTGCCAGCCGCCGTAAACTTTTCTCTCGTGATTGCCGACAGCCGAAAACTATTCACCCTTAGATAGTACCTAGTGCCGTGAGTACCGTGATTTAGTTCATCGATTAATTATATTGGCTTTTATATAATTAGTTAAAACACCCGTGTGACAAGTAAAGAATTTTGATTCACATCCAGGATATATTATTTCATCCCTCAGTGGGAAACCGTTGACAATTTTTTTATTTGTGGTTGGACCTAGAGTAGACACTGAGTGCTCTCTCTGTCAACGACTACATCCAATTTTTTTTAAAAACCGCCCAGTTAACATCGTAGTGAAAGATCCGACCTGTTTGAGTTTTTTTTTATTTTATTGTTTTATTTTTTTTTTCTTTTTTGGAGGTTTGATCCGTTTAGTGGGTTAGAGAGCTCTCTCTCCTATTGACGTTGTCTAATTTCCCAAAAAGACGTTTAAATTAATTTCCGCGTCTCACTTTGTGTAAATTTTTTTTTCTTTTAATTTTTTTTTATTCAGCCGTATTTGAATTATTCCCCGTCCACAATTAGTTTTTGAATGAAGCCAGACGACTTCGGTAAAATTAAATTCACACATACGCTCTCGTTAGACTCTGGGCAAAATTCAAAAATATTATTTTCTACGACCGTCGTGGTCACCGTCCAAAACAACCTTATTTATCAATAGGCGAGAATTTTGCGTTTCCGTCGCTTGGGTATTAAGATACAAGGGCTCTCCGACAATTTTGAGTTCATTTTTTTATTTGTTTGCATTTGATTAACGTCATATTTAAATTGTTTTCAATAATAATAATTTATTTTCATACATTTTCCATATACTGAGCATTTCACTATTCCCAATCCGATTAGCCTCCTGAGTTGATAAACCATAAATATTTCTATATGATTAAATAATTTTCAACTTTAATAATTTATTTTTATTAAATTTCCCGAATATAGGGATCCGTCAATATTTAAATAATTTTCAACTTTAATAACTTATTTTTATTAAATTTCCCGAATATAGGGATCCGTCAATATATAAATAATTTTCAACTTTATTAACACATTCACCGCCAGGGCGGACACTGGTGTCCGCTGCGTGGTCGGCTCATCGCGCCACGGCGGACAGCGGTGTCCGCCAGGTTTAGAGGTTGATATTTCCTCGAAAATTCTGAATTTTGTAAATTATTTATTATAACTTATTCTTTTTAGGCCTCTAGAATGGCCTACCGACCGTGGTTTTTTGAAGAAGAGCTTCGTTTAAATTTTATGGACTGTGTCCGCTATTGTGTCCGCTGTGGCGTGTAAAAAAGTTTTTAAAGCAGCTAAACTCCAGGCGCCAGAGCGGACACATTTTCAATGGAAATTTAAACTACTTTTAACTACTAAAATTTTATTGTTTTATTGAAAAAAACATTTTAACATTCTATAGTATATGTACCAAATATGTACGTTATCTTATGCCACCATTTTATGAAAGAAATAACATAAATAATAATCAAATTAAATAAAATAAATAAATCATTACCATTCATATTCTAGGTCCTGGTTAGCATTCTTTTCCACAAGGGACATAATATTTCTCGATCTGCTGCTCATTGTCACTTAATAAAAAAACAAAATAGAAAAAACTTGTGACGAAAACCCACTGACAATTTATGCAATACTGTGCTTAGCAAGACATTTGGCGCGCGATCCGCGTCGACAAACAGATTTGTTACGACGTGCCCACTGAGATATTTGTGTCCGCTATTGTGTCCGCTGTGGCGTGGTAAAATCGGAAAAATTTTGTCCGCCGTGGCGTAATGCAAGGGAAAATGCTTTTTTTAGGCATGGCGCCAGAGCGGACACCGGTGTCCGCTGAGTCGCTCTTATGGGTGGCGTGCTGGGAAGTTTTATGAAAATTGGCTTGGCGGTGAATGTGTTAATTTATTTATTAAATTTTCCGAATATAGGGATCCGTCAATATTTAAATAATTTTCAACTTTAATAATGTATTTATTAAATTTTCCGAATATAGGGATCCGTCAATATTTAAATAATTTTCAACTTTAATAATTCATTTTTATTCAATTTTCCAAATATTTTCGTCAATATTTAAATACTTTTCAATTTTAATAATTTATTTTTATAGAATAGATTTTTCGAATGCAGGGAGCTGCTCATATATAATTACCGGTGTATTTATTTTTTTGTAAATATATATTTTAGTACTTATTCCTGTGTTTCTATTATTGCTGGTTCTTGACCGTTCTCTTTCAGGGTACCGTAGAGTACGAGGTAGAAAGAAGATAAGTGTTTTATTTTTATTTATTCTAGTATAGTGGGTAGTACCTAGCAGTAACCGCCTGGAATTATTTTTACCTCCACTGAGTTGGTGTACCACAGGGTCGCATAGCAAACTGTGATACCAAAACTGGCGCCTGAGCAACCCCTATTCGGGAATTACATTCATAGCGCCACACAGACTCGCTGATTCACTGTAGGTGAACCAGGAGCCTGTCACAACATATCAGATGATCGTAGATAAAAAAATTGTAAAAGTGCAGCTAACCGATGACATAACTCATACAAGTTTTTGGAACAGCTATTCTATTTTACAACTTTTATTTTGCCCAGAAATATATATACAGAGTGTCCCAATAGTGTGTGGAAGTTCGATATATCCAACATATTATAGAAAATATCAAACAATTTTATTTACAAAATGTGTAGATAATATTAATCTGAACATTTCAAAATTATTTTCGATTATACAGAATTAATACAGAATTAATTAAACCTATGTTTTTTAAATGGACCACCCTGTATTTAATTGTAAATTTGAATTCCCATGACTTTGCCCTTCAAGAAAATACCAACATGTATGAGGTTATACTGGGTATTTTGGAAGTTTAAACCAATTTTATATGAAAATTGTACTAGGTTCAACCCTCTGTATATTTCAAAAGAAACAATCGAAAATCAAAATTTTTTGATGAATCAATTTTAATGATAGTCTGCTTTTATACGAATATATTTTTTTTCTAGCACAACAGACGTGTACAGGGTAAGTCAAAACTCAGATACATGATTTTCTCATTTTTTTAAATGTACCACTCTGTATTTCATATCACTACTAAAAAGTACTCTAATTATATGTTTATTTTAGTTAAATATTGCCTGTCCCTAAACACAACAGTTTAGCGAGATTCGTAGATGAAATGTTAAAAAGGGTTAATTACAACTAAATTCACAATGTCATTTGATTTAAACTCCTGTTAAAATATACTGTTTAATCAGTTTGTATTTTTACGGTACCTAGCTACGGGTTAAGGACATCTGGACGTCGCCGTTTCGGTGTGGCCATTTGGACGTCAGGGCATTTCGCCGTTGGCCGTTACGGCGTCGGCTGTTTCGGCGTCAAGAGTACTATTTTTTAGTATGTAAGTTAAAACCGCTGTAAGTTTTAGTATGAAATAATTAAAGTATTGAAATAAGTGAGGCATTGCATAGCAACGGGATAAATACTTTAATCTGTTTTTTAAGTACCTATCAGAATTATAATAGTAATGTAATTAATATTAGTGTAATTTATATTTTATATGAACATTAGTATAATAATAGTAAAGTAAATAAAAAAATTGTTCCAAATTTGCAACTCAGAGTAATCTATTGCGATTTCCAGAAGGCAGCATTCAAGAAAAAGGAAGATTGTTTTCCATGCGTTACTATAAATGGTTATTTTTTCACTTGGCCCAATTTATAAGGAAACAAGTGACTTCTATGGGAGATTCGAGATAGTACAATGCTGATCCACAATTCTCTCTAAATTGCAGAATGGTGATATCTTTGGCATTTGTTCCTATCGATGATTTAAAATATTAAGATCATGCTTTTGATGTTCTAGCGAAAGACCTACCTGCCAAACATCAACAACTGGCTAGAAGATATTGGACGCCTTAATAGTTATTTAATTCGTGCATTTTTATATTAAATAATACTATTTTTATTAACAACTTTGTTTTTTGCACAAGAGGAAATGCTAGACGACCAGGTTTATTCCATCCAACAATGTGGAACCTTTACCAAAGGAGTTTGGATCAGACAGACCGGACCAATAACCATGCAGAGGCAGCATATAGAAGACTACAGTTCGAATTGGGAGCAGATCATCCAACCATTTGGAAATGGCTTGCGGCAGGTGCAGAAAGGTCGAGGTTTATATCTCGAGCAACTTGTGGCGGGCAATGGCAATCTCCCACCATTGAAGTTAAAAAATTTAGGCATGCAGATGAACGCATTTTATAGCTTGTTCAAAATTTTTAGGTAAACGGGGATATTTTAGAATATTTAGAATATCTAAGATGACTTGCTAATAACTACAACATGTAACTTCGTGAATAAGTATAAAGCTCTAATTCAAATTTATTTATATCGTAAATGTAAATATTTCGCATTATCATGGTCACTATGACGTAACAAAGGCAAAGTTAATTTGAACATCAATATTTTTACGAACATTCCTCCAATACCCCTTTCTTACATAACAACAGAGGCTCTTACAAATTTGTAATAATTCCTTTCACAATCTCTACAACATAAGCTCTCTCAAGATGTTCTTCAAATCTGTAGGTACTTAAGATTTGTTAAGAGAAAAGACAATAGAATTTTCCATTTACCTAACTCGACAAAAGTATTTCTTTTATTGGAATTTTCTAAGTAGATTTTCTTTTTTCATTAAGCAGTTCTTTCAACTTGTCTCTTGTTCTCTCGACGATGCTCTTGACCATTAGCGGTTCATCACAATTTTTGACAGGTAAGCGATTACGATATAAGATTTATTTTAAAATATTTATTAATATTTTGACGCAATGAGTAAATAGATAATAACTAATTTTTGTTTCTGTTAGTCGAATAACTTATTTAACTAAAGTGAAATTTTAACCAAGGCATTTTAATTTACTTTTTTTCTATATACAAGAGAATATTATTTGAATGCAGTGGCGGCTTGTCGTAATTTAGAAAAGGTATTTACAATTTGTATTAGGTGCTCTTTGGAAGAAAAAAATATTATTTATACAATGTCGTATATAATATTAATATCTTAATTAATACATATCAAAAAAGAAACGACAAATTTAAATTATATATATAAATAATGCAAATATATGCTTACCTGATATAATTAATAAGTTCATGAACTATGAACTACCCATCACTATAGTCTATTTTAATGTATGAGAGAGTAATAAAACAACATTTCTAATGCAAAACTTAGTAGGGTTATTTTAAATATTTTTACAGAATAATCTAAATATTTCCTAAAATTGTAATAAATGTACCTGAGCTATTACAAGTTTTAGGTTTTTTATTGGTCCTTTATAAACATAAACTGTACAGAACAATAGAAAAAGGTTTGGACAGGCCAACAGCCCTGTGTATTAAAGATTACATAGCCGTATCTTAAGACTATTTTCAATAAGTACCTATTTGCCAATTTTGTTTTATTTTAATTCCAAGAATTTCTTACAGTAATCGAATTATAAGTAGATAAATACCTTCCCAACAAATTTCACCGAAAATGCGATTATAGGTTTTCTATTTAGTAAGGAGGTCCAAGTTGTGTATTCTTGGCAGTTTACTAAATGTCGTTTAATTGCAACTTTCAAGGTGCAGTGTGAATCCTAGTGTGATCATGGAAAATTTGGAAGGGTCGCGTAAACGACAAAAAATCGGTCCTTTAACAGTTAATGAAAAAACAATAATATTTAATTGTTTTAAATCATTTACAGACAAACATTTATGTAAAAGTGTTGACACAGTGAAATTAGTTAGTAATACGCTTGATGTTGGGAAATCTACGATTTACAGAGTTGTTAAAGAAGAGAAATGTGGCGAGTTTCAAACAGCACGTAAAGCTCCAGGAAAACCAAAATTTCAATTAGAAAATCTTTTGAAAGAAAGACTTCGAAGGAAAGTGCATGCGTTCTTCTTTAGAAAAGAATTTCCGATAGTAGACAAAGTTTTTGCCACGGTTCGAGATGATAAGGATTACCCTGAAATGAGTCAAAGCACACTATGGAAACTTTTAAAAGAAATAGGTTTTCTATGGAAAAAGCATTCCAGAAAGTCTATTTTAATAGAAAGAAGCGATATTGTAGTACGGAAAAGAAATTACCTAAGGACTATAAAAGAAATGAGAAACCAAAGAATATATTTTATTTAGATGAAACATGGATCAACGAGGGACATAAACCAAATAAATTTTGGCAAGATGAAACTGTTACAAGTCGAAGACTTTTTTAAATAATTTATCTACTGGTTTAAATCCACCATCAGGAAAGGGGCGCAGACTAATAATAGTACACATCGGTAGTTCAAACGGTTTTGTTAAAGGTGGTTTATTGACTATTGAATCTACTCGTACCGGTGACTACCATGAGGACATGAATGCTGATATCTTTAAAGAGTGGTTCGAACAAATTATAGATCTTCTTCCTCAGAACTGTATAATAGTAATGGATAATGCAAGTTATCACTCGAGACTTATAGAAAAAATGCCCATAACCAAGTGGTTAAAAAAAAGATTTACAGAATAGGCTAAATTCAAAGAATATTGAGTTCCATCCCGGTTCTGTGAGAAAAGAACTGTATCATTTGTGTTCCCTTCATAAAGAGAAATTCAAAAAATATGAAATTGATGAAATTGCAAAAAATCGTGGGATGACGGTGGTTAGATCACCACCATATCATTGCGAAGTAAACCCGATTGAACTGATATGGGTACAGATACAGGGAGAAGTTTCAAGAAAAAATAATTCTTTTAAAATGAGTGTTGTTAAACAGTTGTTTTTGGAGGCTGTAAATAATGTGAAGCCTGAAAACTGGGAAAAGGCAGTAAATCATACGATTAAAGAAGAAGAGAAAATGTGGAAATTGGACAATATTACTGACGAAATGATCGAGCCACTTATTGTAAATATTGGTTGCGACAGTTCGTCTTCTGATTTCGATTCTGATATGGATTTGTAGGTAAGAAGTAGTTTTTATATTAAAATTATTATTTATGAACGTAACGTTGTTTAAAAGTCAAAGTTTAAACCCTTATACCTACATAACCCGTTTGACACAATGTTCTTAACATACCTTGTGGAAAAACAAAACATTTTAGAAAAAATTGCACTTTTTTACCTTCAGCTTTTTAGAAGTTATAAGCAGGTTAATTAGGTGAAAATATAAGTGTATACTGGAGGAATAACTTTAAAAAATATTTTAACTGTCTACTAAAAGAAGTGGTACGCCTATGGATTACGAACGCTTTATTATTTTAATACTATCTCATACATAAAAATAGACTATAGCCGGAGCTTCCAAATTGGAAACACATTGTAAATTCCATAAGCAATTTTTAATTGTTTGTTGAAATCCTTCTTTTGGAAACGACAACAAAATGATTAAAGGTGAATATGATTTATGACTGCAAATTCAAATCATGTACAAAAATGAAGTTTTATCTGCTGCAGTTATTGATTATCAAAGACAAAATGTTGGCTTTTTGGCTAGTATTAAATAAAAGTCATACATTTTGTAAAGTACCTATACATATTAAGGATTTATATAAACGTGTTTCATCATTTTGGCATATTACTTTTTTCACAGATTACACTAAATAAATTATTACAATAAAATATATAGATAAAATTTATAAGCTAAAATAAACAGTTTAAAGAGATCAACAATAATTTTTTTCTACTTCTTTTATCAAAGGATACTTAAAGTTTTAAATACCAGCTCTTAATTAAAAAATTACAGAAATCTCTGAACTATAATAGTGATAAAATAGAGCTATACTCTGTTTTTAAACTAAGAGGAGCGAATTGAAAAGTCCTATTTACACAGGGAAAAACAACTAAAAAAGTAACTAGATATCATTTTAGCGGTAAATTTCAATTTGTCTTGTATCATTTCAAGAAAAACATTTCAAAACTTTGTTATGAATTCATTGAAGTCAAAGTTTTAGATAACTAACGAATAAAGATGACACTAAATTGTGCTCATTCCGTTTTTAATTTATAATTATTGTATTTTAGTTGTATTTTTATTTTTTCCTTACTTCGTCTCATATCGCAGCTCGGACCAGTATGTTGGGAAGAGAATCGCCCAAGCAGCGTTCTAATTTCAGTAAATTAAGTAAAATGTCTCCCAACAAAATACAAAATAATTTACATTTTGAGTTTAACATAGAGTTTTAATTCGATATTTTATTCATTGTTTTATAAGTAACTGTGATTAGAAAATTATATATCTATTATAATAACAGAAAAGAAAGTAAATAGTAGGTTTTTCAATTTGATGGAAAAATTAGAAAAATGGGTATGCCAGTTCTATTTGTTGAAATGAAATTAAGCATCTATTATTACCTACCTATTACAAAACATATTTAGGAGGGACTGAAAAATATGTAGTTGAAGAAAAGCTTATTTAAAATAAAGAATTTTGGCAGGTACAAAAAAAATAAAGTTTATTTTTATATTTCTTTATAGGTATAGTTTAATTTGTAATATTTTTTCTTAAAATTAAACTACAAGATTACCATTAGTTGTATGGATTTCCTAATTAAATAAGGGTTCTTTCTTCAGGTAGAATGTAGCAGAGTTCTGAAGTACGATACGATATGTTTGCAGACAAGTGTTTTGAAATGAAATAAATCAAATCTATAAGAATTTTGTCTCCACTAACAAGATGTTATATTCAACAGTCGAAAGTGTAAACTTGTGGGCAACAGCTTATTAAATGTATGTAGAAGTCCAAGAAAGTGCAATGGTACCAGCTTTTACTATAATAATAATGGTTTTTATCATTCTCCTGTTTTTTTTTGTAGATAGGATTTATAATTGTTGCTTAAATTCCACATTATGTATCAGAATGTCTTTGGTCTTCTTGAAAACATATTTTTATACAATATAAAGCAGATGGTATATTTTTTTTGAGACATCCTTCAAGTCATTCAAAAACTAAATGATTATTTGCAGGTAAGACAATATCTATCTTAATTTTGTATGATCATTTATTTTATAGACAAATAATTAAATAAAAATTATTAAGGCATAAAAAAGGTAATTTGTAACTTTGTGTCAGCAGAAGGATTTCCTACACCCAATTTAATATATTTTTTACAAACAAATAAAATGTCTTTAGTATGATCGGTAGATATTTTTAATAATTCAGCACTACATATGTTTCGGAATCTTCTGGTGCAGTCACAGCTTTTTAAAATTTAAAAAAACATTTAGGAACACTTTAAAATGATCATGGACGAAACCCAC